GCAAGAGTTTATAATTATTATTGACTATCTCTGCAAATGGTTTATACAATGCCATCCTTCTTCCTTTCATACATAAACATGGTTTAAAAGATAGGTAAAAGTATTAATAATTCAGGTTTAAAAGCTAGGTTCACAATGAATTAGCATTGTAATTTTCAGGGAAAACATAATTGTCGCTGTCATGTTTTATGTGATTTTTTGAATATAAAATAATTTTTTTTAACCACTTTGCTCAGGATAGGGATTGGCACAGGTGCAATTTGGTAAAGTACAATGTTGTTACATGCCTTTGGAGCATATTTTATTTCGTTATCAGATGACGGTCGAAATTTGCAGTGGGCTCTCATACTAAGACGACCTATCATTATTAACGCGCAAAGAATGGCAAACTTGACATATTCAAACGTGACTAGTAATAACAGATCTATTCAAACTGAAAACGAATCAAATAATGACTATGCTTAATACAATTCTAGACACCATTACCAGATTAGAGGTGGCCACCTTCCCTCAAACGTCTACACATCTTTAATGGAGCGTTAAGACAATCATTGTAACGTGGAATGCCTATGGACTCCCTGTCCATCAAGAAGAGCTACAGGTGTTCCTAATATAACAAAATATAGATATCTGTCTAATATCAGAAACGCATTTAACAAAACAAAGTTATATACAATTTAAAGAATACAAAATCTATAGTACTATATATCGCTCGGATACCGCTAAAGGTGGAAGCGCCATAATGATAAAAGAAAATTTTAACCATTATGACGAGAACCAAATAGGAACAGAAGAAATCAAGGTAACAACAACATAAACACGAATAAATACAGCTTCTGTCAGAGCAGTATATATCTCACCACGAGATAATTTGAAAAAGGAAAATTACAGAGAACTCTTACAACAAATGGGAATTTTTTTTTATCTTGGGAGATGATTTTAATGCTAAAAATATCATCTGGAGCTCGAGATTACCAACAACCAAAGTTAGGGAAGTGGATGCAGCTAAACGTGAAATTGGGTGTTGTAACAACTAACTAGCCTAAAAGATACTGATAGGTCTTTAGTTACTGTTGTTAGTATACTATTAAGGGATTAAGGCAGCACTGTCACCAGCCAGAAGGTCCTGGAGTCCAGAAGGAACATTCATTCATCAGTGATAAATAAAATTCACAAAAAAAATAAATTAAAAGAACAAAAATTATCCCTTAATAGCATAGTCAAGCGTTTCTTGGCAACTAGTTTTAGACTCTTTTAGTCCTAAGGAAATCAAAACGCCGAGGCTTCTCAAATGATCGGAATATTTGCCTGGTTTTGAAAGGGGGAGAGGAGATTAATAATAAGTATTAAAACATTAACAAATGTATATTTACAATAAGCACAAAATTTGACTAATATAAAGAATGAATAAAATTACATTTAGGGAATAAAGCACTACTTGTTAATATGTCCAAACTTTAAATAAAGAATCATGGCACTAGATAAACATTTCATTGAACTATACAGTTTGGACTTATTAAGAATTATAAATAGAACTGCAAAACTTTAACTACATATTAATATAAAAATATGTATAAGATGAATATGATAATCGGGACGAAAATGTAAAATTGGCATTTATATGTAAATCAATTAATTATTATCAAACAAAACACTTTAAAAATAAGTTAAAGATATTTACCCATAATTCACAAATCGCTGCACAAAAACTTTACATATTACTTTGTTTTGGGACTTAAAGAGTTCCGAAAAACGACAGCTATCGCCCCTAGGCGAAAGTTCTGGACCTTAGTCCGCACTCGAGAGTCTTTTCTTTCTGTCTCCTCTCTATATAAACCAAAATTTACGTGATGGTTGTATTTTTAAAAATGTCATGCTCAATGTAGCCATTGATTAGATTATTAACCTGATTGTTTGTTTTATTTTCATACGTGTGTTCCTTTTTAATTTCTAATTTAAAACATTAAAATCATTTTTTAGAATTTTTGGTAAATTCTTTATATTTTCCAATAATAATGCCAATTATTACTACCAGTCAACAGGAAAACCAACCTATTGGCCAACCGACAGAAATAAAATAACTGACTTACTGGACTTCTACATCACTAGAAATCTACTCGGAATTTTTTTTAAAATAGAAAAAACTTTGACTTAGACTCAGATCATTCCCGGTGATAATGATACTAAGCGAAAATATAATCCAAAAAGAAATTAGACCCACATTGTGTAATAAAAAGACAGACTGGGTAAGTTTTAAAACTGAATTAAGTTATAAAATCGGACTAAGTGCACTACTAAGAACAAAAGAATAACTAGAGTACGAGCTGGAAAAATGTGTCATTGACTTACAGCAGTCGTCATGGAACAATACACCATAAAATACAAGAAAAACCGTAGGCAATTCATGTCCTAGATAAATACAAAAACTAATAAATAAGAAGAGAAAAGCTAGACAAAAATGGCGAATCACCAGACAATCACTAACAAAAAAAATTACTTTTAAACTTAGAAATATGCGAATTTAAATACGGTGATGTCCAACATCCAATTTAGGGTAACTGAGTTATTATATCCACGACCCTTATTAATGATCAATTAATTTAAATAACTTTATTTTTTTTAATATTTCTATTGATTCAATCTCATTCTTTTTAAATTTTATTAGATATCTTAGCAGATGTTTTTGAATGTCAGTATATTAAAGATTATAAGAAATAGTAACATAATTTAATTTGTTCTTGGAAAAAGATATCAGGAGATCTAAACAAAACATATTGTTATTTTCCCTTATATTTTTCTAATAAACTGAAAATTTTGTTTTATTATCATTATATTAACTTCTTTCGATCCTTGTTTACTGTTACTCCAAATGTTCAAAATGTTCAAATTTCAACGTATACATATATTGGTCTTTTCACAACAAAAATAACTGCCATGCAACGAGCTTGTTTTAACGCTCACATTTTCATAACTTATGACTTTTTTTTTTCCTTGCAGTAAGTTGGGTACAAAGCGTATCGAAATATGTTTTTGAAGAATTTCATGAAATTATAAAAATTGTTGACGAGATGAGTATATAGTGTACAGTATGAAAATTAAAAATGCAGGTAAATGGAAAATAATATTTTGTCATCGCTTTTCTCTTTTATTTTAATGTATGGTTACCTATGTGAAGGATAACAAATTACTGATTGTTGGTGATTTAAACATTACTGAATATGCAACAAATCAATTTCAATCGTAGTTATATTTAGCTAGAAAAATACCGAAATAATTTTTCTGTTTATTGCAAGTCAATGAAGTACGAAATTATTTTAACCTTGTTTTCTCTAATGTAAAAGTTTGTAAAGTAGAAAAAGCAGGTGACAAACTTGTACCACTAATTATTGACAAAAATGTTTCAACTGCTTCTCCAACTTGATTCAATTATGAAAATGCAGGTTTTCTAAATCTTTAAAAAATATTAGAAACAGACTGGTCTTTTCTATACAACTGCTCTAATGTTGTTGATGCCTTAATGCCTTAAAACGAATTCTACGATAGGTAAAATACTGTACTTGCCCAATATGTTCCAAAAAAAGATTAAAACTAACAAATATTATCCACCGTGATTTAAATGGTTTATTTCTTTAAATGTCAAAGAGACAAAATTTGGCTCCTCGAAGAAAACTCAATTCTAATTTAAATTTAAATCTCATTAGTCATTTTCCTCCACAATTGTGTTCAAGAACAAGAAAACCCCTCTTTAAGAGCATTTATTGTATTATCTTTACAATTTTTAATTGAGTGAAAAGCTTTAGGAAAAATGTTTATATTATTCTTTCTCTTCTTGTTTTCTGTAGATGATTCTCGTTAGTTCCCTTTCTTTACAGTGGCAAAAAATAATTCCAAAACAAAATTGTTTGCAGAGTTGCTGGTTATCAAACATTGTATGAGTTAAAAGATTCATTCCCACATTTTTTTAAAATTTTTGTTCAATAATAAAAACGAAAAATTTCATTTCAAGAAAAATTTATTTACATTTTCATTCATTTCCTAAATACATATTGACAAATTAAAATAAAATGTTGGACAAAAATAGTACCCGTTTACGTAATTGACGGAAAGCATAGTTATTAAATAATATCGTTATTTATTAAATTTTCCATCAATAGGCTTTTTCCAGAAATATGTAGTCTAAATTTGTTTTTATTTATTTACCTACACATGCAGACACGTATACAAATTATTCTCTAAAATGTAATTTTCAAAAGGATTTAAAATTAATATTCTCTTTATATCTTTCTATTTTTTTCAAATATTGTATGGTTGGATTAAAGGATCAAAAATAAAAAAAATACGCCATACATTTTTTATTTTTAACCATACAATATGTTAACTTTTCAATTTTTACTCCAAAGAACGGTATAGAAAAACAATGGTATTGAGTTATTGAAAATACAGAAATAGAGCGTACTTATTGTCCCACTACCGCTAGAGGTGTAACCATGGGTCCAATCACGGCAAGCAGGCAAGCGAGTTGGAAAGGACTGTCTTTATTTTTCTCACGTTTAATATAATTAAGCATCTCATCTTTATTTCGCTGGATGCGTCTGTTAACTTACTGTATATATCCTTGGACAGACCACAAATTGGCTCAGGGTTGTTACTAGAATGTCACCAAGCTTTGGATGAAGTATTCATCAAAAATATTTTGTTCGGCATGTAACGCTAGTCTGGATCAATATGGAAATATTAAAACACTCCTAGCGTCTTTTAAAAACGATCTAAGCAAGGAACTAGACGAAATGAAAATAAAATTCTGTGAAATTAATCAAAAACTATCCAACTTTGAACATTTAACTACCCCACAATTTGCCGATAAAATAAATGAAACACTTGATAGAATCAACCGAACTAAGAATGTAATAGTGCGGGGAATTACTGAAGCCCCTGGTGATAACGACACTAAAAAAAGCATGACGAAGTTGCAGTTAAACAAGTTTTACAATCTGTTGTTATTATTTTACATTGATAAAGGCTGAGGACATAAGTTCTATGATAGCCTAAAAACAAAATAGAAAAATTGGAACAAAGCGAACACTCTGAAACAGAAAGATGAGAATACTAAAAATTACATAAAAATGTTAAACAAACCCTCGTCTAACAATCCGTAGCATTTTTCCTACTAGGCAAGCCCCAGTTAAACTCAAAGTAACCACGAATGATTAAAGTTGTCTTGCCCAATTGATATGATGCCCGCTCTGTATTAAGATATAAAAAGAAACTACTTGAACACCCCACAACTAAATTTTTTTTAGTAATTACCGATCAAACATCTATCCAAGTTCAACTTATTAAAGATTTACGGGTCAAACTAGAAAATAGAAATCAAAATGGAGAAACAGACATAACCAACAAGTATTTGCAAGGTATTACTAAAATTGTTAAAAATTATAACTTTTAAGTCGAACTTTGCCACTATTACTTCTTGGTCATTTTTATATACTAACCTGGATTCCCTTAAGACAAAATTTGACGAGTTTTTATGCAACGTTGGAGATCTCAAACCGCATTTAATATTTATCACGGAAACCTGGCTAAAACCATCACATCCAGACTTGCTTGTTTCTATCCATGGATACACCATATTCCGATCTGACTATTGAGAACAGGTGGCGGGGTTTGTGTATATTTATATTTGTAAAGAAATAACCCGAAACTTTTTAATTAACACTGACATCCTAAAAAAAGCGGGTATAGATATTTTACCGCTTAACATTAATTTCGCCTATATCTATAGACCTGCTAATTCCTGCGAAGATTCAACTAAGCTATTAATTGATAAACTAAACAACTTCTCAACTCTCCAAAATGCAGTTGCAGTTGGAGTTTTTAATTTTCCCGGTATTTGCTGGCCTATAACTCGTAGACATTTCAACAAGTAATTTTATGCAATTTTTTGCTGACTTCAATTTCTGTCAATTAATAGATAAACTAACCAGGTTTCGAGTTAATAACGAACCCTCTATTCTAGATCATATCCTCATAAATAATGAACAACTTATAACAGAACCTCAACATCTTCCCCCAATAGGCATTTTCGACCATTCAGCAATAATAGCAGAGATCCAAGTTCATATTGAAAGTGTAAACAGTAAGACGTACGATTTATATAGGGTGGCCAACTGCAACGATGTCAAAATGAACTTAGAAGCTTGTTTTCATAACTTATTCGAGTGATCTGCCTTGCCATATCAAGTGGCAAAGAGCTTTTTATGCAGATAACACAAAATTTTACAGAATCTCCTTAGTAGACTACGATAATATTTAAGCTGACTTAAATTCTATAAGTAATTGGTGCTTGAACTGGAGTCTTCCGTTAAATATAAACAAGTGTGTGGTGTTACAAACGATATTGGTTCGGCTGCCGACTGATTACTATTGCACAGTATATTACCCAAAGTTTTCATGAAACTATTGATCGACTCAACATTTTGCAGTGGGCTCCTAAACTATAAATCTAAAAATTTCTACTGTTAATAACGAAGACGTGGACTTATGGAACTTTCCGATATTGCTGCTTAATTTTTAAGAAATTATAGCATTTTAAAAGAAGCAACTTGATAACATTTTGTTTTCATTTATGAAACATGTATCTTTCAAAATGGAACAATGAACCACTTCAAGCAAAGTAAACTTGTTTATTTATTAGTTTCTATATTTCATACTGTAAAAATTTAATACATAATAGTTGTAACGTGATATCTAGTAATTCTACTTACTTGTTATATGTGTTTGAGCTCGATTTATAGGGCGTGGGTTAGGTTTTTAAATAACTCGAATAACTGAAAAAGAAGTTGGGCACCACTATATTTAAAGCTTACTATACTTGACTCTAGATTAGTGATAAAAATATAGAAAATCACTAACCACTAACAAATTATACTTAAACCATGCTTTAGATAATGTAGTTAGCAAATTCTAATTCACATAAGTTTTACTAAATTCAAATTTAAGATGATTTATTGAGTAAGCACTTATCATTTGGTAAGTTTAGTAATATACGGAATGTAAAACAGGTTATATCAAGGTATATTATCAGGTAACTTCCACAAACGGATTCGGGATCCTTATTCGCAATTCTGCTTAATTCTGCAATGTGAATGATCTTTAAATAATCTTCAATGGTATTCAAACTCAACCGACTTGGGATGAAACGTCTAGTGATAAAACGTGTGAATGATCTTCAGTATTCGAACTTGAACTCGAACTGTCTAGAGATGAGATCAAAACCGTCTACGAGATAAAACGTCTAGGGATGAATCCAAGACAACGTCAAGAGATGAATTCAAAACCGTCTAGATATAGCCATGAGCTTATAAAATCAGACGCATTTTAAGAATATTAAAAAACATCTAATACGGATGACCAAGAAAAATTAAAATAAAATCCAGTTGATTGTGGCGTTGTCAACTAAACCAAAAATAAATCTCACTAGACGACAAATGACATTTGAGTAAGAGGTGGTTGTGTCGAAATAACGAAATAACGGTACCAACCGTTACATAGTTTGTAGTTATTTCGAAATAAAAGATTTTTAAAACGCACTTTAAGTTATTAAGAGTTTATACATGCATCACATATAAATTGCTTTGCTTTCTAAATACATTCGATTGATCGAGTGAACTTTACTTGGCTCAGGTATCCTTATAACCTTTGCTATTTTGCACATCTTATTTTACTGTAAATGGTGCATTTATGAGATTGGTCATTTTAACAATAGTTTTCGGTAGAAAAACTTTCGCAGTTTCCTCAATATTGAGGTCAAATTCAGCGGCTTCTTTTCGGATTTTGGATTTGATTGGATTTTTATTTAAATTTCTTTTGGAGAGGTAGATTTAACGACTGACTTTTTGTTCTAGTTTCACACGGTCTTTACATGAAATGAAATAAAAAAAAGATACCTTATCTAAACCATTTAACTTAGAAGGAACAAAGTTTTTATATTACTAATAATAGTGCAAAAAAGTCGACGTCATGACTCACAACTACAATTTAAATGTAATTTTTTAAAAATCGTATCCAGATACACGTATTTTAAGAAGTCCCTTAAATTAATCCTCCCTACACTAATTCCCCCAAGCTTAGAATAGTTGGTTGTATTTTGTTAACCTTATCTCCACACACGTATTTCAAGATGTCCTTTAAATTATCACCCCTACACTAATTCGCCTGCCTAAGCTTATGAAAGGAATAGTTTGTTGTATTTTAGGCTCTTCATGTTGACGTTTGTTAATTCGTCATTACAACACCTTGTTCATCCTCCAAAATTTACATAAGCAATGACAAATTGTATCAAATAAAACTAAGTTTGTTAATTATTATAGGTGTTTACTTTTGTGTTTATTTTCACCGAAATCGTGACTATACACAAATATGGTTTTAGTTTAGAGAGTTTTCCAGACCAATTCGCGTAGTTATAGAGGTTAAACTAAAATAACTATTACGAAATTAATTAAATGTTAATAATTTTATAATTATAAATTCTTATATAATAAAATACTAAACTTAATAATAACAAATAAAATGTAAACAAATAGTGGACCAAACAAAATTAAAAATACAACCCACTTGAGATTTACCAGAAAAGTTGGGGTAGCCTGCCACCTTGTCCGGATTTATAAGTGCTCGATTATTATAATCATAATTTACCTACTCATTACAAACGGATCACAATTTTATTAAAATCCCATATAACGCTTCTACTATTCTTCTCGAGATTTATTTTTAGACGACACTCATCCATCCTCCTTCCGAATCGGAAATTTGAGGCGTCTTCTGTCGAAGTTCATAATAAATTCCACCTGGCGCGAGGTCTAGAGGGGTAGAGGTACCTATTTAATCGAGACATTTTTCCAATTTTCCATTTTTCATTTTTCGACACGTTTTCCATCAAAGTAACTCGACGGATTAAAATCACATTATGGGAGAAATCTAGGAATTTGCGGGTTAATGGATTTTTTGTTCTGCTGCCTTGTTGTTCATGCTGGTGCTCTCTAAAGAGGAAATAAGTGGGAAAAGAAAGGTTTTAATTGGGCAAAAAGAAAATGAAAAAAGTGAGACAGGATCTTCTACGATTTGTAATTAAAAGATGGATTATTCATAATAATGTGAGATCTTCGTTATGAAGGAAAAATTTTGATCAGGATCTGAAACAGCATTTTGAAACTCTACAGTGTGATTCATAAATTTAAAAAATGTACAATGTGTTAGTTTGAATGAAGCTTATGGGTTTTTAACAATATCCGAAACGCCGAAACCCACGTAATCTGGTAACATCAAAAACGCAACGAAATTGTCTGGTGTCAAGTAAAAGCATACACATCATATTATCTAATGGCGGTTTTCCACTTAACGGACAAAACACAAACTCGTGTCGAAAAAAACAAAACTGCATCTTTACGTAAACATTTTTAAGACTGGCGTGCTTTGCGACAGTTTGAATTTTGTTTCTCAAGTCTTGCCTAGAAGCGGTAACATCAAAAGGTTTCGACATGTTTTGAAACTCGAGTCTGTTTACTGGAAACGGTCGTATTGTGTAGTCTAAATTTAGTACCAAATTGGTATAGGTAAGCAAATTGCGTTTTTTTTTTATATAGATAAGTAATTTATTTTGAAATGCTGAATAAATTTATATAAGTATATTTATTAGTAGAATATATATCTGTATGTTAGAACCAGACTAGGTTAAGTCCAAGTATTGTCCTTTTTCGGTTTCTATGATTTCACATTCATCTTTTAAACTACTTTTATATGTTTTTTCAGTTTGGATCTATCTGAAAAAGTAAACATAAATAAAATATTGAAAAAATATGTTCTGACATCCTCGCGACAACCAGTGAAAAAGGGCCGCAAATAAAAACAAAACTGAAACAAAATGTAGTCCGCTTGATGGAAACAATAATTTTAAAAACTTAGACTTTTTCATTATTTTAGTGTACCTAATTTTTAGAATACTATGTTATTGTTTTAGCCTTAATTATATTATTATTCTACTCTTCAC